ACACAAAGTGGTTACCTGGGGTTTAGGACATTAGGATGGACTGTGAACAATGAGGAAATGTTCTGCATTTTAATTGTTTATGATGTTATATACTTCTGTCAAAACTCACTGTCCTTACTTTTATGCCATTTTTCCACCTTAAACTGCTTAACAGTCGAAGAATATGTACTGTTATGGTAGGGAAAAACAACATTCAGATCCATTCAATGAGAATTTACTTTGGTACCATCTTTTTCAGGAAAACATTTTGGCAAAACCAAGTTACAATGGATGTGCTTTGCAAACTCTTTAAGCCAGCTAACAATCCCAAGAAATGACACTATAAAAATATCATCCCAAGTAGACTTTCAAGGATGCTGCTATACTACTGGATACCTAAAATTAAAAAATAAATAAATAAAATCTCAGTGCAAACCCAACAGAGAATGGTTAAATATTTAACAGTACATGATGTCATGTCACTAAAAAGGAAATCATATCTATGTGATTGCCCCGAGTGGAAAAAAAGACCAAAATCTCAAAACTAGGTGTAAGAAGCTGAATGAGCACATTTTGGAATAATTAAATGAAATATTAATCTGGAGGCCAGGCAAGGGTGGTTAATTAAAGGTAACAACTTTTACTCATTCTTATTTTCTATATTATTAAATTAATGTACTTATTTTAACTAGGTATATGTGACAGCAGAATGCATTTTGATTCATTGTACACAACTGCAGCACAACTTTTCATTTCTCTGGCTGTACACGATATAGCATCATACCATATGTGCAGTCATACATTTATTAATTCTTTGATTTGGAAATTATAACTTTAATGACATAAAAAGCAATTTTAAAAATACTGATACTTAGGACAAATTTCCAAGAAATGTTGACTATCCTGAATTACATTTTAAAATAAGCCATTTGGAAGAGGCCACACAGAGCAAGAAAAAAAAAGCAATTACAAGTCGGGCACAGTGGCGCAAGTCTGTAATTCCAGCGATTCAGGAGGCTGAGACAGGAGGACTACGAGTTCAAAGCCAGCCTCAGCAAAAAGCAAGACACTAAACAACTCAGTGAGACCCTGTCTCTAAATAAAACACAAAATAGGGCTGGGGGTGTGGCTCAGTTGCCAAATGCCCTTGAGTTCAATCCCTGGTACCACAAAAAAAAAAAAAAAAGGCAGTTACAAAACCATACTGATGTTTAGGGCAAATTTTGCAAAAAATGATTATCCTGAATTACATTTTAAAATAAATCAGATCTTTCACATGATTACAGAACAATACAACGTAAACTTAAGCTAACTTCTACAAAGACTAACATTTATTAGGTAGACACTGCTGTTCTGGCATTAAAAGATAACCATTAGGGCTGGGGTTGTGGCTCAGAGGTAGAGCCCTTGCCTAGCATGCATGAGGTAGGTGAAAGGCATGCCTCTCATAACCACAGCAATGGGTCCACTCCTCAGCACCTAGATTCAAAGCCTCCTTTCCAAAAAATTAATGCTTTTCTCAAGAGAAAAGGCCCTCCAAAATACATCAGTTTCATGCACATGCAAGATCCCTCTGGGGTCCAAATACAAATAAATCTAAACAGCCTTAACAGAAACGTAAATCCAAGGCAATTTCATAATAAATTTGTAAGATTTAGAAAATGTAAGTTTTCTTATCAGATATAAAACACTGAAGAAGAAAAAAGGTCCTGGGGGAGGGAAGCAATCCTCTAGAACCATGACAAAATATTCAAATAAACAAACCAAATATCAGGTCCCTCTTTCAAAATAGTGTTATTTGAAAATGTTATTTGTGGGAATGTAGCACAGAGGTAGTGCTTGCCTAGTATACTAGCATGTGTGAAGTCCTGTATTTAATCCTCATTACTTTAAAAAAAGGGGGAGGGGGGAATGGGTGAACAGATACAAAGATAAATAAAAGGGAAAAGATAAAAATGTTATTCATGTTAAAAAAATATTTTAAAGGCTCTGCCAAAAAAATATAATGAAATTTTTTTAAAAAAATTACAACTGAGTACATAAAAATATAACATCAATAATGCTTTATACTGAGAATGTTTAAACAAACTAAAGCATAATTCCCTTTATAAGATTCCTATGAAAAGGCATATGATATCACAAAATGTGACAAGTCACTTCAGCCCTACCAGTGCTTTATTCTGATAATTCTCCAAAATATCTTAACCACAACAAGTACTCATCTRTTATCCCAATTCAACAAATAATAAGGCTATTTTGTGCTATGGATAATCATGTTAGGAACTGGCTATGGCAGAAGCACTGAACACATCACAATGGCATTGCAATATACATTCATCTACTCTCTCACACTGTAAAAGCAGTTTGGGGAAATGGAAAGAATGCTAACCTGGAGGATGGGAGGGACTGGGTTATAATTCCTGCTGTAACCCACTTACAAGTCTGTTTTAGCTTTCAGATTAACAAAGCCATGAGTGATATCACACAAACTTGATTCAGAAAATACATCAGGGTAGGTTAAGAATTTACAACTTTTTAAACAATCAAGAGTCAGTACATTTCATTCCAACATTTTAAGGCAATTTAAGTGTACAATAAACCATTAGAAATGACAAAAAGACTCTTTTTATTTTTTTTTTAAAAAAGGAAAACTTGCAAATGTTATTTATACTAAAACCACAATGCTAGATTGCAAAAATGTCCTACACCAGGTCACAAGATTCTTTAAATACTTAAGAAAAAATTATACATATAAGCAAGAAATTTGTCTAATGAAAATTTTCTATCCTTTTATAAAGTATTTTCCATAATTTTAGAATAGAAATATATTTTTAATTAAAAACCTTGAGACAACTTCTCTCAAAAAWTTTTTTCAAAAGTCAAGTTATAAATCCTTTTTAATAAGTAGACTATAACTAAGTATCTCATTATGAGCCTGCCTGTTATACAAATATATCCTTTTTTTTAAAACCTACAATTTAAAAAACTGTTTGCCTTTCAATCACTTAATGCAGAAAGCTGTGATTAAATAGACTCCTCCACTGAGTAGTTAAAATACTTCAACCATATTTTCCCATTTTTATATTTTACTCAAAATACATAACATTTTGTCAACTGTGTTTTAAGAATTCAAAGAGCAAACAACAGAACATATTTTAAACAACTATAACTATGGCAAATTCTTTCAAGGAATATTTGCATTTTGAAAACTTTCATTTGTATGTGAAAGGGAAAGTTTTATACCCAAAGATTTACTGACATGATTTGTCAAAACTTTCAATGAGTAAGACTAATCTGAAACTATTCCCTGGGGATTAATTACTGTCTATCTTAATTTCTGGGGGACCTGGAAAGAACAGGAATGGGTTAAGTGAGCTGGGTGTGTAGAGTGCTTGCCTAGCACATGCAAGGCCTTGGGTTTGATTCCCAGCACTGCAAAGAAAAAAAGTAATGTGTGGCGACTTAAGGGAAAATTTATATATAAAAAAGTTTATTAGAAAAATAAACAACTTTAAATTATACAATATTTTCTACTTTAAGAGTCTTTGAAATAAAGCAGATATGCCTATAGATTAAACATAATCTGATTTACAAAATCTCATTTAATCCTATTTTATAAAACAAAATATAAAAATACAAATGGTGAAATAATGGATTATTGTTAACTATTAAGAAAYCCAACATAAAAGTTCCCATAACACCATTTGTGCATGTACCTAATATGGCAATATTTACTTTAAACTATATTAAAAAGCTTTCACTAAAATTTAATATACTAGTTCATTATCAAAAATCAACATTATCATATTAAAATGCAAGTTCTGTTGTCTATTTAAAAAAAAAAAAAAGGACGTATCTACTAGAAAGTGATTAGCGAACTTTTTCTTAAAGGACCAGACAGTACGCATTACAGGCTGGTAAGTCCTATTGATCTCAATATTCAACTCTACCACTACAGGAAGAAAGTATTTACAAACAACATGTAAATAAATGTCACGTCTGTAGATTGTAATTTGCCCAAACTAAACTACACATGGATTTTGAGTGAGACTGATTATTTCAGGAATCATATTATAAATACAATTTAGATGACTAAACATTAATAAATATATGTTACAGATTAAAATTTTCACTTATTTTCCAGTCACAATTGAATGTGTGTGCATATATGTACACATACAAGTTACAAAACTCATTTTTAACTCCACGTTCTTTTTGGTGTGCTAATATTAGTGTCAGATAAGCAGCAAAAAATGAGTACACAGAAGCTAATCAATAACTAAGAAATTTGATTTTTGATATCTATTTCTACACAATGAAAAAAACTAATTTATTACTGTGCCCCTAAAGAAAGTATTGAATGGATATTTTTAAATGTTATTTTAAAAATTTAATTGAATTGCTACAATTTGAAGCTAAATGTGATTTGCTTTGTTTTATTAGAAAAAATACTCAAGCAAGGTCTACAATCATCGGTCAATTAAGAATGACTTACAAGAACATGAGGCAATAAAATAAAAATACAAGTACAAACTATATATCTGAAACATTTCTATTTGGCAATTTTTTAACAAATCAAAATTTTAAAAGAACAAAAAAGATTGCAGATTACTTYGAAGATACAGAATAAAGCAATTGATGAAGTGCTTAAGCAAAGGAAAACAAAAAAAAAAAATAGAAAACACACTGCTTTTTTCCTTTTAAAAATAAAAATCACATTTGCTACAGATCGTATGGATAATACCCTTATTAAACAACCTTTCCAGAATGTCTTCTAGTAGCAGTGCTTTTATTTGCACTTCATTTAATTTTATATGACTCATTTCATGTATATAGCTCTTTATCCCACTGTTAACGAATAAAGTCTCCCATAATTTTTACTATTTTTTTATTTTTAAAGCAAACGAGAAATGATTTATGCATCATGGAACCTTTCCCATTTTGGAACCAAAGGTTTAATCTATATTTTTGTCTATTCTTTCTTTAAAAAATTTTTGTAAAAACTGCTGGTTTTTATATCACTGTAGTAAAGTGAAAACTCCTCAATCAGGAGTATTTTTTGCAGTTTGACTGCATATAACCACATACTTTACAATATGTTCTTCCTACAGTAAGGAAATTGATTTCACGGTCACTGTCAGAAATGAGTGCCATAATTCTATTATGGGTATAGGTCCTCCCTCAAAGACTTTCTGGAAGGATGTTCAATGTGTTTTGTTCTTATAGATATTAACAGTAGTACATAGTCCCTTAAGTCTGCAAAAGACATTTATTGTTAAAGAAGGTGCTTTATTAACAATTCCTCTGGCAGCACTAGTGAATTACAATATCCTTCAATATTATTTCTACCATAATATATACATTTTTAACTTTCATGCCTCTAGAAAAACATCTACAGTACATTTCATAATATAAAAATATATTACAAATCTGCTGAATTATTTACAAGCAATGTTCTATTATCTCTATGCAACATTTGTTTGATACAATACTAACAAGTTACACATATTTCCATTTCTGTAAGTTAAAAAAAATTCCATATGGCTTCTTGCTAACCAAGCAAGAAAGTGATTTTATTTTCCTTTTCAAAACCAACTTTGGTGCATAAAGGATTCAGTTTGAAGATACTCTTAAAAAAAATACAATTTTTCTTATATTAAGAAAAAACAACTCAAAAACCAAATGCTTTCCTCAGAAAAAAATTAGAGTCATATAGGTTAGATGAAAATATGAAGATTATATTCAAATTTGAAATAGAGGTTTTTCAAAAACCGTTAACAGATTAGTTATATAGGTAAATATTAACATACTGTACTCCATGAGAAAACCCTAGTCCTGAAAAGGGAGTCACCAGACATACTGCAACACTCTTTAACAGTAATTTTCAGCCCTAATTCGAAAGACGAATTTTTAGTTGATTGCAAATGTCGGTTCACTGTTTGCTTAAATACAAATTGAACACTTTTCTTATCAGAGTTCTGCAAAAGAACACAAATGGCAACCAATCACATCTATTTATCATAATTGAAAGATTAATTATCTCTTGATTATTTTCACTCTAAATATTTCCTAATATGACTTCAAATCAATAGACACTGTCAAGACAAGTATCCTTACAGTGTTTTTGGTATTTGTAAGGGCACATGTTGTAATTGTTTTTCTTTCCAATAAAACTATTGTAATCACTAGAGGGAAGAAAAAAAAAAGCTTAAAGCAGCAAGCATGCAAAGCCTTTAAGAAGCTGTTCCACTACGTTGCCAGAAGAGTGTTTGCTCAGTCTCCCACAGTACCATTCCATGAAAATGTGGATATACAGTAATATATTAATATATTCCACAGAAGAGTCTACTTCATTCACAGAATGTTTACACTAAGCATAAATATTATTCTAAATACTGATTTAAAAAAAAAAAAAAGAGGAAGGGGGTTGACTCTAATGTGCAACTTTTCCTAAACCCATTGTCAGTGACTAAGACTGCAGGTGTCCCCGCTTGTTTGCTTTTTATGTATTTATTTATTTTTTACCTCTTCAACCTCTTCTGCGGCATTGTTCTAGAAAAAGAGAAAAAGGAATTTTCTTTTATTCAAATGAAACAAATACACTGAGTAGTTCAAAAGAGAGACATTAAAAATATCTGTAATATACAGGCATTTCTACAAATATAGATCATCTTTAAAAGCTATTTCTACACTTGTCTTTCTACATATTTGTCAAGCACTATGTATATTTAGAGATATAAATAAATAACAAATACTATACAGTCAGGAAAAAAAAAAAGTTAATTCCCCATGGTGGTACACACCTATATTTTCAGCTACACAGGAAGCTGAAGCAAGAGTATCATTTGAGCCCAAGAGTTCTGAGGCCAGCCTGAGCAATAATAACAAAACTCATCTTTTAAAAAACTTTCTTTTGAAACAAAAGAAGTGAGCAATTTATCTGTAAAACATCTGCATATGATGGAAACAAATTTAGTTACATAAGACAGCTTTTTAGTAAATCTTTTTCATATATCCTGCTAAAAAGAATTCTAAGTTTAACACATGGGCTTTAGTCAACTACTACTACTTTAAAACTGATGTTTAAAAATCTCAAATAAATTTTCTTTCTGGATCCACTTTGAAGTTACATATATTTCTGGAAGACTCATCATACTTTCATTCTGACAGATTTATGATAATTGTTTTTCCCTTTTACTTAATTTCACAATTAATTTCATTGGTATTCCTAGTCAAAATCCAGAAATTTAGGTAATGATGCCATACCAGGGTAATGGTGAAGCTTCTTTAACAGAAGAACAAAAATTTGGTCAAAATTAAATCCTGGATTTTCTGGGGTACAGTTAGGAAACATTAAATCCACAGAAGCATCTAATACATCTTAAGAGCATTCTCATTTCCAAATCACACATCATGAGAACATCAATTACTGCTCCTAAGAACTTTTGAATATTAATTCTAAGCTTATATGATATCTTGTTAAGTCACTTTCAATAAAGTATTTAAATCGCCTCCCACATAACACAAGAGCAAAAAAACAAGCTGATTGGTGTGAAAGGAAGAAGGGAAAGGGAGAATTACAATACAGGTTGTAATCACAGATTAATATCAATTACAACCCAATACTACACAAATAAATTCTAAACTAGGTGCTAGTAAATAAAGAATACTCCATTATTTTCTTTATACATGGGCAAATTGTTAACTTTTCCATATTCTAGTAGTAGATTTCTCCATACTGTCGACAGTGAATTTCCCTTTCCTTCAAATCTACCACATCATACACAGAACAAATTTCACTACACTCGGCACCCTTGCCAAAGGATGATTTTTTTTTAAATTTTTTTATTAGAAAAAACTCAAGTTCAATGTTACCACATGGCAAGTCATATGAAATCCTGATATAGTGAATAACTTTCCAAAAAGTTGAGTCATGGAATTAACAGAACCTTTGAAATGTTCGATTGCTATAAAATTAGTTAACATCATGATAGTTAAAAATCTACATTTGAGAATTAKCAATTATCATGTTATCTTATTCATGTCAAGCCTAATCCTATGCAAAATACATATTCAATTAAAATTTCATTAAAAAACACATAAAGTTCTTTCATTGAGTGCCTTTTAAAAATTACTTTAAAGCATTTTTACCACCTTTTAAATCACCCTAGCATATGTCATTTGGATAGACACAATAAGGAGTTCAACCACATACCATCTATGTAACCKTCAGCATTTGAACTATTTAAACTCTTAACTGTTTTCCAATTTGTAAAATAGTACCACCTAATTCAAAGAGCTACTGTGAAGAAGTATATGTATGTAAAGCATATAACAAAGTGACTCAGCACATAGCAATGTTGGTCTCTTCTCCCCTTACCCATATCTTCATTTGCATAACACACTAAAGCAAAGTTCAAGTCAGAAAAATTATTAAAAATGTGAACACTGAGACACCTCTTAAGAAACAGTAATATTTAAACTGTTCTTCTTAAGTTTGAGGAAAGTTCTAAAGAACAAACACACAGCCAACTGGGCATCATGTTCCAGCTTGGGGAGCTGAGGCAGGAGGATCACAGTTCAAGGCCAAGGCCAGCCTTAGCAATTTAGTGAGACCCTAAGCAACTCAGACCCTATTTCAAGCTAAACCTTAAAAAAAAGGTGGGGGGGGAGTGTATGGTGGGGTAGGGGAGTGGGATGGACGGGACCACCAATTTAGRCCCCCCAACCAACCAAAAAACAAATCAGATAATATATAAATGATTACATATTTAAGCAAAAGGCACTTAATTGCAAATATTTGTATATTATAATCTAATCTACTTAAACAGGCATATAAACTTTATTGTCTTTCTGGATTTTATAATTCATAACTTATTGTGAAGTCATTTCCACATAAAAAAAATACCAGAAGACAGTAGCAATGGTGCACACATTTAAACCCAGTAACTTGGGAGGCTGAGACAGGAGGATTGCAAGCTGAAGACAAGCCTCAACCACTTGGTGAGGACCTGTCTCAAAATGCGGGGGAGGGAGGGTGGTGCCTGACACTAGGGATAAAACTCAGTGGTAAAGCACCCCCAGGTTCAAGTCTCAGTATCCACCCCTCACACACACTCATACCTGGGGATGAGGGAAAAACACAAGAAAGGTACACTTAGTGCTGAAATTCAGCACAAGGCCTGGAGGTGTGATGCATGCCTATAATCTCAGCGACTTGGAGGAGCTGAGGCAGGAAGATCACAAGTTGAAGTCCCGTCTTGTAAACTTAGCAACATGCCATCTCAAAGATAAAAATTTAAAAAGTGTTGCGGTGTAACAGCTCCGTGGTAGGGCACCCTTATGTGAAATCCCATTWAAAAAAAAAAAAAAAACCTGCATTTATTAGCTACCCCTAGATCCAAAAAATCCAAAATATTTTGAAATCTGAAATCTTTGAGTACCAACATGATTCTGAAAAATTTTGGGCTTTGAAACATATCAATTTTCGATTTTCAGATTAGATATATCCAGCTGATATTACCTATACAAATATTCCAAAATTGAAAAAGCAAAACACAAACTCTGACATGTCAAACACTTATGTTTCTAAGTATTCTGGATAAAAGATATTCAACCTGTAGTTAAAAATAAATTCTACCAGGCATGGTGGTCCAATTCAGGAGGCTGAGGCAGGAGAATTTAATTTAATGAGCAATTTGAGTTGTTTAGGGCCTCAGCAATTTAATGAAGGCCTTAAACAACTTAGTAAGACCCTATCACAAAATAAAAAAAAGCTGGAGATGTGGCTCAGTAGTTAAGCACCCTGAGGTTAAATGCCTATTATCAAAAAWTTTTTTAAAAAGTCTAAAATTAAACAAAACTTAAGATTACAATCCAAAAAATAAAGCCTGAAATAAAAAAATAAATTACCTGTATATGTTTGGGTCCAAAAGCAAGGCAGTATCTTTGGGTAACTTTGATAAATGAACTACTTTTGTTTTTAATTGATGTCGTTCACTTTCATTCACCCATACATCTGGCAGACTGTAAATTAAAAAAAAAAAAAAGTCAACAATAAAAAATGCAGTAACTTCAGATTTATCTTTCAGATGCCTTCACATTCTCCAGCCTTTCCTAAAAGTCTAATAGGGCCATCTACATTAACAAATTTCCCAAAGCTCAGCCATCAACATGGTAGCATGATATGGAATTTCAGATTTAATTAAAAAAAAAAAAAGGTGAGGTGGGGGAGTACCATTAAATTTTAAAAATGAATTTGGGGATGAACAAGGAATTTTTGGTGGTAAAGTCATAACACACTGCCTGGCTTTTAACTCACTACATAAAATTCATTCTTGAGTTTGGCTCTAGGGGAATGTGACATCTCCTTAAGGAAAATCCCACAAAACCTAATTCCACTTAAAAGGAAGGGAAAATGTATATAAGTGACCAAAATCTGATTTCAAAGAATTTAATCCTACAAAAAAAAAAAATTTTAAGAAAGCATTTTGATATTTGGATTRCTTCTTTTCCAAAATACTAGGAATACACAGACATTCAAAAATCATCATTTTGGTGGGGTATTTGGTGGGGGGATGGGAGCGGTGGGTGTTGTTTAGGAGTTTTTTGGTGCTGGGGCTCAAAACCAGGACTTCCCACATGCTAGGCAAGTGCTAATAGGTATTTCTTTTAAAAACATGCCAATAACATGAATATAAAAAGACCTCTTAAAAACCAATATGAAGCAGATGAACATTCATTAGGGATAAAACGAATGGGAGAGATAAAGGACACCAGCCATCAATTTGCTAAAGATAAGAAGAGTTATAAATTACTGTAATTTAAAAAACACAAAATGTAAAAGGGAATGATAACAGCCAGTATTGAGAACTGAGATGTAGCTCAGAAGCAGAGCACAAATGAGGCTCTAGATTTGATGCCCAGCAATGAGAAAAACAGAGCCAGTATTGATAATATGCCAGAGAAATAAGCTCACTAATATAGTACAGGGATTACAAACTGTTTTCAGAGGGGGTAATTCCTATTTAAAAAAAAAAAAAATCGGGCTGGGGATGTGGCTCTAGCGGTAGCGCGCTTGCCTGGCATGCCTGCGGCCCAGGTTCGATCCTCAGCACCACATACCAACAAAGATGTTGTGTCTGCCGAGAACTAAAAAATAAATATTAAAAATTTTCTCTCTCTCTCTCTCTCTCCTCTCTCACTCTCTCTTTAAAAAAAATCTTAACATTATGCATGATTTATAATAAATAAGAGATTTTCATATCTTTTGAGAAGCTAAAAATTATTAAAGTCAACATTTAGCAAAAAGGAATCAACTAAATAAATACCATGTCCACAAAACCAATACAGGGTGTGGATGTGTGTGTGTAGGGCAATAGAGCAGGGAGAGAACTGTGAAAAATGTTTTCCACATACTAAAGAAGTATGATAATCACAGAATTCAAAAGTTAAAACAGACTTGTGAATTAAATTTAAACTGTAAATTTCCAAATCTATTTAAACACTCTTTATTCATATAATACTCATATTAACATCTCCTAAGAAGTGAGCAGAAAAACATTGCAGAAAAAAATAACAAGGGCAAATATTAGCCATATACTGCTAATTACTGAAGTAGGCATATACAATAAAATTCTCTTCGTTTAAATTTATACTATTCTGGATGCTCATCAGGCTTTGTCCAACATTTTATGATACACCTTCATTAACTTTCTGTAACAAAATTTTAATACAAAGATAAATGGAAATTTATAAATTTAGGAACATATAGATAAGGATAATAAAACTCAAAGAAAAATGTAATCATTGTTAGAAAAAATGGACAATAGTTTTTCTTTTCTTTATCTTGTACCAGGGGATTGAACCAGGGCCACTTAACCACTGAGCCACATCCTCAGTCCATTTTATGTTTTATTTTGAGGTGGGGTCTTGCTAAATTGCTCAGGGCCTCACTAAGTTGTCAAAGCTGGCTTTGAACTTATGATCCTCCTACCTCTACTTCTTGAGCCGCTGGGATTACAGGCGTGTGCCACTGTGCCTTGCAATAGTAGTTTTTCTATAAAATATTAAGTGCTGGAAGACATTTAGAAATTTTCTTTAAAAAAAATAATTGAAACAAAAGCATGGCTCAGGATGATTCCATACTACTTGGAGGTTATTAAAATTCCTAATAAATACTAAAAATGATTAAACTAATTTTACTGAAAACAATAAAAAGCTAAGGTTTTCAAGCTTATAACTTGAGCTATGCACTCATATACCTTTCAGATTCTCTATTTAATCCTGATAACCTCAAAACACTATACCGTTTGGTTCCTCTAAATCTTTTTAATAACCTGAGTAACTATTGTGCTTAAGACTTTAATAAAGCAGGGCATGGTGGCACACGCCTATAATACAGCAACATGGGAGGCTGCAGCAGAAGGATCACAAATTCAAGACCAGCCTCAGCAACTTAGCAGGACCCTGTCTCAAAATAAAAAATAAGAAGGGCTGAGGATGCAGCCCAGTGGTTAAATTCCCCTGGGTTCAATCCTCAGTACCAAAAAAAGATTTTAATAAAAGTATAATATATGTCCATTAGTTACAAATAATATTTCAAATACTTACATGTCTTCAGGCATCCAATGAAGCAAAAGTTTTATCTTTCCAGAATCCTCTTTTCTCTTAGCTATTACCTAGCAATAATATGAAAATAAATCATAAAATAAGTTGTAAAATATCATTCTCCTGTACTGTTAAAAAGCACTTTTGCCCCTATTCAAGAACTTTAAGTGCCCATACCCTACACAAGACCTCTTTCCTGCAAGACTGAAACTTCTAAGACACAGAAATCTATCCTATAGATTCTGGTTTCATACTAAATACAGCAGTAGCAGTGTTTATTATAAATTGAATTAACTAAACTTTCAGAAATTCATCCTAAAGAAACAAGCTTGAATTTAGAAAAAGCTTAAGGATATTCATGTTACAATGAAAACCTTTGGACACTCTGGCTCTCAAAAGRGAGAACAAAAATCCAAACTTATAGACCTAGCAGTTACTAGTTACTTTTTTTTTTTTTTTTTAAATCATTATCTCCACCCAAGTCACCAAAACCAAAGTTTAGTTCTTCAATCTTCTGGACTTCTTCAGGTTCCCCGAACCATTCTTCATTCAGTTCCCAGAGTGCCTGGTCCAAAGCACAGATTCAATAGTAGTACCACTTCCCTGACTACAATTTTACAGAACTTCTCCTGAGCACTTTAAGACAAGGTAATCTTATTATGATGCCCGAAATCATTCAGGATCTGGCTTGTCGAGCCTCGTTTAGTTTTAGGTTTTCATTTTACATTTTTCTGCCTTGAACTTCAACCTCATGTTAAGAATCACTTCCCAAACTATGAGACATATAAAAGACACTTTCTGATTTCTGACCTCTAATTTTTCAGAATAATAAACTCTCTGTGCTTTGTACCAACAACACTGCAATTTGCGGAAGAAATGGCTGTCACAGATCAGACCCTAGGCAGTGATGCACACCAAATCCCATTCTAGTAAAATTAGAGGATTGCTCATATGAAAACTAAGTTCACAGCTTTAGAAAACTTGCTAAAGACAGTCTCTAAAAACATAAGCATATGCTATAGAATTACAGTAAAAAGAATGAAAATAAAAGTCTTAAAATCTGAAAGATCCACATATATGGGTATCTCTAACGGCTTTCAAATTGTAAGTTCTGGCTCCAATTCAAATATACAGAAACTGCACACTACTAGATTATATATATGAATTATAAATATGGCTTAATGAAAAAATGTAACTAGAGGTCATCTAAATTCACTTACAAATTGAGCTAAAATGTTGAAAGTATATATAATTTGGGGAGGAAGGGAAGATACTAGGGTCTGGTTATGCTGCCCAGATTTACATCGAACTCTCAATCCTCCTGCTTCGGTCTCCCAAGTAGCTGGCTTCACAAGACATGAAATACCACAACAGGCTTACGGTAAACACACACACACACACACACACACACACACACACACACACATTTTTAGTAGTAGATGGACACAATATCTATTTTTATGTGGTGCTATGGATCGAACCTAGTGCCTCACGCATACAAGGCAAGCGCTCTACCACTGAGCTACAACCTTAGCCCCTTATGGTTCATTTTTTATTACAAACTTTAAGATAATGCTTAAATAGAATATTAACAAGACTAGGAAAACAGTTCAGTGGTACAGCACTTGCCTAGCATTCACAAGGCCCTGGGTTTTATCCCCAGAACCACAAATAAAATAAAAACAAATCAAAATGATCATAGTAGTTATAATTTCCACATTAGCAAAATAGTGCTTACTGTTTTAATTATCTCAATCTCAATTTTTTAACAAGTTTTGTTTCAACCAGCCAAATTTATGTCATCCTGTGAACATACTAGAAATGAATAAAAACAGGACTTCAAACAAAAATATAACATTTGCTCTATTATATAAAAACCTGTAGTTAAATTTAAATAAACACCATAATTCTAGACTTGAAAATGAAATTAAAAAGCTCAAGAACAGACTTTGAGGTGCTAAAACAAAATGTTACCACCACAAGCCAGGCACAGYGGTGCAAACCTTTAATCCCAGCACCTTGGGAGGCCGAAATAGGAGAATTCCAAGATTGAGACCAGCCACAGCAATTTATCAAGACCCTGTCTCAAAACAAAAAATATAATGGACTGGGGATGTAGCTCAGTGGTGGAGTGCACCTGAGTTCAATATACCCAGCACTAAATAAATAAACCACCACAATAAAATAAGATAAACAATGCAAGTCAACCAAGTACCATAAGCCCACTAACTATTAACTAGGATTCTGATGACCTCTTCTGGAGAAGGCTCAAAGGAAAATTGTTTTAGTTAAGGAAATAAGACACATTAGGCAAACTGCATACATACCATTCTTTTGCAACCTGTTTCATTATTAGTATGGTTATTGCCTATAAAAAGTTAATTTGATAACAAGGAAATTTAAAGCTGCCTTAAGTATGGAACTTTCTGACAACTAACAGAAGTGATTCTGCTTAATATATACTGCCACCATCAAAACCTTAGTAGTATGGAGAGAACTTATGCACCTAGCTCCTTTCTTTTCTATTGTGTCCCAAGACCCTGCCTCATTCGATGTCTCTTCCTTCCACTTTCCTTCCCTAGCAAAAATCATTCTTCAGATTACATTCCACCTTTTTGACTTTTCCTCAGCCAAGATACCTCTGCCTCCTTGCTGTCACTTAAGGATTCACACCACTCATTTCTCAGTTTTCAAACCATCACATACACACATATCATGGCCTTAAATCCTCTCACATAGTTTTTAGAGCCAGAAAAATTTCCATCTGCATAGACTTATATGGAATCCATAAAATTTTGTTTTCTTTCTAGATTCTTAATAGCATTCATCACACTATTTTTAGTTACTTCATTTTTTCCTGATCACGGCAGGGTGCATCTGTAGTCCTCCCATGGTGTAAGGATTTTGTCCAAAGGACTATTTTTATGAAAGTTAATGAGCTGGTACTTCACCTTTTTTTTTGGGGGGGGGGCCGGGAGTTACCGGGGATTGAACCCAGGGGCACTATACCACTTAGCCACACCCCCAGAACTATATTGTGTTTTTATATAGAGGCAGGGTCTGAGTTGCTGAGCACCTCGCTTTTGCTGAGGTTGGCTTTGATCTCATGATCCTCCTGTCTCAGCCTCCCAAGCCACTGGGATTACAGGTATGCACCACCAGACCCGGCAGTACTTCACTTTTCAATCATAACTCTATTTATCATTATCAAAAACTTATTTTTAGATACTTGTTCATTATAAGACCACCTTTTCGTTAACTCTTTGGAGAACCCCAAACCTCAATCCTTACACTACTTACTCTTTTCTATTTATACTGGGTTTTTAGGTAATAACATCCAATCTGACACTTGCAAATATCACTGATATGCTAAAAATTCCCCATCCTTGTTATCTGTAGTCATATCTCTCCTCTAAACTCTTACATCCATACCTACTTGTGGGAAAGAGCTACATCATTACATGCCTTAAAAGCCAATCATGTCAGTCCAGATTAGAGCTCCTAAAACTGTCTCCTCTCTTAATTTGCTCATACCACAGCCAATGTCAACTCCACCACATAAGCCAGCTACCCTGGCCAAAAAGTCGYGGAGTCATCCTTTCATCTCAAACTATTTATAATTCTTGTCAATACTAACATCAAAATGCAATCCTTCAAAAAACATATAAAATCACAACAGATCTACACCAAAGCATATTATAATGAAAATGCCTAGCATAGAGAGTAAGGATAGAATCTTAAAAGCCGCAAGASAGAGGAATCAGATCACATATAGAGGGAGACCAATTCCTATCTCAGCAGATTTTTTCAACACAGACCCTCAAAAGCCAGGAGATCATGGAACAACATATACCAAGTCTGAAAGAAAATAGATGCCAACCAAGAATCTTATATCCAGCAAAACTAAGCTTTATATTTGTAATGAAATAAAAACCTTCCATGAAAAACAAAAAATTAAAAGAATTTACAACTAGAAAGCCTGCACTACAGAACATCCTCAGCAAAATATTCCACAAGGAGGAAATGAAAAGCAGTGATAAAAATCAGCAGAGGGAGGGATTACACTAAAGGAAAAACACAGGAGAAACCAAATCATATTGAATACTAAAAATAAACAAAAATGACTGGGAATACAAATCATGTCTCAATAATAACCCTGAATGTTAATAGCCTAAACTTACCAATCAAAAGACATAGACTGGCAGACTGGATCAAAAGGAAAAAAAAAAAAAAAACCTATGCAACAATATGCTGCCTCCAAGAGACTCATCTTACAGAAAAAGACATCCACAGACTGAAGGTGAAGGGTTGGGAAAAATCATACCACTCACATGGACTGTGGAAGTAAGCATGGGTTTCCAGCCTCATATTAAATAAAGTAGTCTTGAAACTAAAGTTAATCAAAAGAGATAAAGAAGGACACTACATACTGCTCAAGGGAACCATACACCAACAAGACTTAACAAATACAAATATACATGCCCCAAATAATAAAGCATCTATGTTCATCAAACAAACTTTACTCAAGTTCAAGAGTCATATAGACCACAACACAATAATTTTGGGTGACTTAACACACCTCTTTCACCACAGGATAGATCTTCCAACCAAAAGCTGAACAAAGAAACTATAGAACTTAATACAATCAATAACTTAGACTTCACTGACATATATAGAGTATTTCACCCTTCAAAATGAGAACACAGATACAAAATATTGAAATCTTTGGGATGCTATGAAGACGGTTCTCAGAGTAAAAGGTTCATTGCATGGAGTTCACTCATTAAAAGAACAAAAAATCAACAAATAAATGACTTAACATTACACCTCAAAGCCCTAGAAAAACAATTCTACACCAAAAGAAGTAGAAGACTGGAAATAATTAAAATCAGAGCTGAAATCAATGAAATTGAAACAGAAGAAATAAAATTGACAAGTCAAAAAGTTGATTCTTTGAAAAAATAAAAGACAGTTCCTTAGCCATGTTAATGAGAGAAGGAGAGAGACAACTCAAATTACTAAAATCCATGATAAAAAGGAAATATCMCAACAGACACTACAGAAACATASA